GTCTCAAACTTTCCCAATATCTGTTAAATATGTATAAATTTTCATTTGACTTTTCATAAATTTTTTTCTCTCCTTCATTCCTTCTCTTTCGCGTTTTTGCTTTAGCTACAGGGTAATAGGCAAATTTTTGGCGTCCATTTTCATGAATGCATTTATAAAGTTCTAGCCTAAAAGCGCAATTTTTATTGGAAGAGACTAGTAAAACGGTAACTCTATTTCTCTTAGTCCCAGTAGCGACCGAGCGGTAAAGTCACTGAACATTGGCAGTTCGGTCCGAATTTCGAATCCCGCGAACGTACAGGCTTCACGGGTGTTTTCGTGCTTTTCCCCATGTTTAACATGTATACAAGCCAGTTTTTCTTAGAAAGTCCTCCACGAAGGTACCCCTCCCATTAGGCAGATAGCTCTCTAGCTTTGCCGTAATTACATAAACCAAACTTACTTCTGTTAGGTGCCCGCAGGCCACGAGATACGAATTCTCGTGCCGGAGCACTATCCCAGATTAATAAATATGCGATGCCTAACCTGTAAATAGCATTTTGAGGGTGTAAATAGCATTTTAGATTTAAAAAAAAGTAGTTCCAGTGTGTCGAGGAGTAGGGCGAATCACTCTACTTCCTGACAGGAAAAGGAAATTTCATTAGTGGGAGGAGCGAAACTACTTTATACGGGAATGAATATAGTGTGATGTGTTGAGCAAAGTAGTAAATGAAATGTGAAAGTATTAGCAATCTAAAAGCATTGGGAAGAGCGAGACTCATTGTCGGCTTAACACTAGAACGGCGGGAAAAATCTTACCTACTGGAACGGCGGTAAGGGGTCATTTTAACCTTTCAATGCAAGTACTGAAATAACAAATAAAAAACAATTTTAAATGCCATAAATTGGCACAAATACGTACTTTATATGTATTTCATATGTTATATTTAATATCGCATGATAATTTATTGACTTTTTAAAATACTGTAAATGTGTCAAATACGTGGCGATCAATTAGATCATACCACAATTACCAAATAACTCATTAATATGATATAAGAATTTATTTCAAATAAATAGTTTCACAAATTAAAAATAATGTTAACTAAAATAAAGCACAATTTATATAATAACATCTTTTATGTACTTACTCGGAGGATGATTCCCTCTGTAAATCCAGAAATGAGAAATGTTCTCTGATGTTTCTGTTATATCATTATATGTGTAGCTGAATGAAATATGCAAATCATTTCGTTTCAATTCTATTTAATGTTTAAAATATTAGAGATTACACATACGTATTAAAAATTAATGCAGTTGGTACAAAAATAATTTTTAACAATTTTTCCGTTGTATTTTACGCGCACAACTTTGGAACAAGATGCATAATATTGAGATTTGTTGCCAATGCATGTCTGTACTTGACACTTTTTTCTCTTTATATCTATTTTCTTTTCATGTGTTTCTTCTGAAGTTCAAGAAGGATCTTTGGGTTTTGAAGTATATTCCCTCTTAACTCCTCTCCTGATTTCAGTAGAAAATCTCTCCATTTAATGGTGTTTCTTGTTACACTTTTAGCCCACCAGCGGCCGAGCGGTAAAAGTCGCTGAATACTGGTAGTTCGGTCCGAGGTTCGAATCCCGCGAACGGGCTGGCTGCATAGGCGTTTTCGTGGTTTTCCCCATGTGTAACGTGTATACGAGCCAGTTTCCCTTAGAAAGTCCTCCACGAAGTCATCCCTCCCCTTACGCAGATAGCCCTCGAGGCTTTGCCATATTCACACACACACACACACTCCTTGCTACACTTTTGTAAATTATCCAGGCGTTCAAAGCTGTGTGGTCCAAAATATTGAAAACAATATCTACAGGCCATAGTCTAGAAGGCGATTTAACTGAATATTTTCGGCACATCTGATCACGAATATACACACCATACTTTGTTGCGTTGTAAAATGCTATTGAATCGCGCAACTTCTTGAGACTGTTTTCAGTTTTTACATTAGAATGAGAAAAACGCTTTTGTTTCTTTTGCCTTGATATATGATAAATGTGATATTATCCTGTTCCAATATTGTCGATGAATAAAGATTACTACGCATATTTCTCTTTTGTTCTTTTTCATAGTGACGACTATAGTTGCATTTTTTTATTTAGCATTTCTGCTAATTTAATGCTAGTAAAATAGTTATCCGTGGTAATATTCCTCCCTTTGTTTAGATGTGGTACGGTAATTTTATGACAACATTTTCAGACAAACGTAATTGAGGATTTGCTGTTTCATCTTTTCCTAGATAAGTAAATTCATTCAAGAAGTATTTAGTATCAACGTTGACAGTTAACCAAAATTTTATTCCAAATTTGTCAGGTTTATTAGGCATATATTGGGTAAATCTACACCTAGCTTTAGATGGGAATAATTGTTCATCAACTGTAATATTTTGTCCTGGTCGGTAGAACGTTTTGCAGTTTTCAATAAATTTGTTCCACATGTCTGATGCTAGAGCAAATTTATCAGTCTGTAATCGAGCAGATCTTGTTGTCCTTTCATCGAACCTTAAAAATCGTTTTATTTCTTTGAATCTATCTCTTGGTAGAGTTTCTTTGCAAAAATGGTTTTCCCCACGCTTCGGACTATAAGGAATATAAATCTAAACGCTTTGCTCCTAATACTCCTCGAACATATAATATAGGGACAAAAGCATCTAACTCAGCCAGAGATAACTTCCAGTCCTTATATCCAAGTTGCCGATGAGCTTCGGATTCTGTATATTTCTTTCAATGCCGCAAGATATCATCAATAAAAAGCATGAAAGCCCTAGACTTTGTCCTCAAAAACACGACTTTTTGCAAAAGATGTTAGTCTTGTTGTTCTCTTAGAGCATTATAAGTAGGAACAGTCGCAGAGTAAATTTTTGGAATTTATTTCATTCCATATAGTGTTATCAGAAGCTGTAAAAACTGTTTTGCAAATATGCTGATTCGCTTTTGTTGGTTTATTTCTGGTGAGGTCTTCGTTTACTACGCTGTCCTCGGATTCACTAATAGTTTGTGTCTGAAATTCATCTTCAGTTTCTACAGAAAAATTATAAATTTCACCTCTTTCAGACTCATTTTCAACTTCAACAAATTTTTAATTTCTTCATCCGTAAGACCTCTTTGAAGAATAAAGATAGCAAAATCAGCTTACCTTTTGTGCACTCAGTAGCAGCAGTTGAGTCTCCGAAAGTATTGTTGATGATAATATGAGGGATTTATCCATAAATAATACGATGCAGCCTTAAACACTAATAACATTTATTGTACCGTAACTAAAATAATATAAGTGAGCGATACATTAATGTAAATACAAGCACAAACAGAAGCTTGATAATAACTATAGAACAAGAGGATCATGGGATAAATTAATATCACATGATTAACATAGTTGACGTGGACACCCGTGTCTTGGCATTTTTAGGGTTGCCAGAGTTTTAGGGTTTTTCAAGTTATAAAAAAATTTTATCTATTTATTCTCAAATGCCTGATTAATTTACAACACTCTTTTCCGCTTATTAGACATATTTTGTAAAAGTTGAAAAAGTAGAAAAATATCAGACTAACAGAAAACGATAGGGAATATATTTTAGCATATGATTCTCCCAGAGTAAAGGAAAGTGATAATGAACTTGACGGCAGAATTCATATGTACTGAAATACTGATTTCATCGTTCAAGAAAACATCTGTCCTAACTGTTATCATCTGCACTAAGTAAAATACATCTGTAAAATAAACTATTTCTGAAAAGAATGTAAGCAAGAAAAATCCTGCATCTACCTTCCTTGCAGTATTTTCTTCAAACAAATGGATAATTGCAGACAAAGGAACAACTTATATAGACATTACAAAGTAGTGTGACCACCCAGGTTTTTATCCCTCTGGGAGATAATATAAATGCAAACGAAAAATCCTTATCAGTGAATGTCTTTCATGGATTATTTGAAAATGCCTGAAGCAGAAAGAGGGATAAAAGTAAAGGTGTCAAAATGACCCTGTCTACTAATACATGCCATTATATCAAAAACTAACAAACCGAGAATGCTGAATTTTTTTTTACAAATATTTGTTAGCTCTTTAGGAAAAGTCTAAAAATTCCAAACGATTTCTTCTAATAAAACAAAAGTAATCAACGGTCAAAAGTTTTCAGGGGTCAAGATGACCCCCTACAGCCGTTCTAGTGTTAATGTCATATCGGCTAACTATCCGTCTTGCCGAAGTGTTTTTGAAGGCGAAGTGTTCTGTCGGCTAACTGTCCTTGTCGGCTAAAAGTCCTGTCGGCTAAGTGCGCATGTCCGCTAAGTGTCCCTGTCGGCTAATTGGTGTCGGTTAAGTGTCCCGTCGGCTAAGTGGTTGCAGGCTAAGTATACGCCAAGAACGTGATATTTAATAAATAAAATAAACACAAAATATTAATAATAAAAAGACAAAAATTTGTTTTCTAAAGCTGTCTTAGTAAAACTGGACATTAATATGATGAATTGAGAAAAGAGTCTAAAAAACAGGAAAATATTATACCAACACTTAAGTCTGCATTGGGAATTCTAAACGTATGCTGCTTTTAAAATTTTCATAATATTGCTGCGGCATTGCATATGGCGTAAATGCAGAGAAAATGATGCTTAATAATAAAGCTAAAAAGAGAAAAAAAAAGATGGGTTAGTCAGAATGAGTGTAACAGCAGACTGGTAGACTGCGAGATCACAGAGAACATAAAAAAACATAAATGAAAAACTTTTGCGCGACCGCTCAAATTTAAAATTTCTTTAAGCTCAAAAAAATTTCATAATAAGTAGATGAATAAAATTTTGATGCATTTTCTAAATTCTTTGATTAAAAATATTCTCGTTATGAGATCGTAAACTTAAAATCTTAACAGAATGGAAGAAAGAAGTAAAATTTTTTATGTTAAAATTAATAATGGTTACAAATATAATTCAATTGTAAATTTATTGGATAAAATTGGCTTTTTTTTAAATTTTCAGGTTTTTTTGTTGCTACTTTCATAACCGTTGCAACAATGTTGAACGAAACAGTTATTTATTATTTTCCCGTAAGTATAATGGCCTATTCTATTTATTTATTTATTTTCAGTTACAGTAGCTTCACAATATATATTCGTTTTTTTAAATAAATGTAACTGTATCCTGTTTTGGAAATGAAAATTTTATTTGGTGTACGATATTTGTTATGAATACGACTCAAGTTTGATGAGTCACAACTGTACGCATTACCCTGTTTAACTCTATGAAGAAAATACTACGACTGCCCATGAGAGTCCGTACGACTGTTGTTACTTTTCAATAAACAATCCGCTCTGTAACTCACTAAATTTTCAGGTTATTTTTGCTTGTTTTCGTAAATTTTTTATAGTTTCTTTGGTAGTTAAAATCTTATATATATATATATTAATGTAGCTAGTGTGACATTTTAAAATTTTATACAAATACTTTCTGGTTAAGAATAACAGTTCACCATATATATAAATCAAGGTAATAGGTTCAATTACCCCTGATTTATATATTTTAATATCACCTTAATTTATCGCATTTGAAAATAATTATTTTGAAAAATCTTCCACATACTTTTATATCTGATTTCCGAGTTAATATTGATTACTTAGTACTCACTAGCAAAACCTCATGCTAAAATAAGGTTTAATAATGATCTTAACGAATTAATATAATGTATGATTCACAATTCACAGTTATTAAACTGGTCAACTTCAGTTAATATTTAATGCAATATAATATTTGCCTAATTCCTAATCTCCTGTTAAATGAAGATTTCTGCCTCAAATAATTTCTCGTTTAGTCATTGTGAATGGCTGAAATTATCTTTCAACACCTAAGATTTTTGAAAAATTGCACTTGCTTTTGGATTTCGAATTATTCTTATAAAATTTTATGCAAATAATAAAGCTTTATTTTAAGAATTTTTCCTACATTACGAAGGATTAATTTTTTCCTTTGTACATGAATAGGTTTTGATTTATTGTCTAATTTTTTTTGTGCCAGTTATATTATTTTTTGTTAATCTCTACCAATCACTTCTAAAGATAAATCTTCCTCGCCGTCATCATTGAGCGTTTCACATTCTATTATTAGCTATTAAGGTTGATTCTTCCAGATTAAATGACATTTTACGAATTTCTAGAAAATTAAAGCTAAATATCTGCAAAAATAGATAACTTTATACGCAAGACTGCAAACATGTTATTGGAAATTTAACAGCACTTCGTCAAATATTAGCAGACCACGAACTGGAACAACTGAGCAAGAAGGCACAATCTCGAAATTTAGAGAGCATCTGTCTTTTCAATACTCAAACAAGTGAAGGAAGTGAAATGACGGAATATTTGCAGCAGCAATAGCAACAAATTAAAAAAAATTTAGAATAATCCCAAAAACTCCTACGCCCTTGAATCCACCAAGAATATTGCTCCAAAAAGTCAAATCAATGATCATTTTCTATTTCTGAAACCTAAAGATTCAGCTGGAACACCTAAAGATATCAAAAATCAACTAAGTTCGGCAAGTAATCCACAAAACATCCATACCAACAACCTCTCGAGAGGACTTTCAGCTCCCCGCATATTTAGAGTATCCCCATACTTCAGCGATATTATGCATTTGCAAATATCAGTGCCTTCCGAGAATCTCGGTGGGCCCTCGTGTATCGCGGTAGGCTTCCCTAATCACTAGGAGGAGAGGGGCAATTTTGTAAGTAAAAGTACAAAATATTTTATTTATAATTAAGATAGCATAATGAATATTTTATTAATGGAAATCTCGCTCGACAAGGGTCATATAAAATGTTACATTTAATTACTTATACAACACTCCAGTCCTATGTTTATTAAAGCTATCTATATATTTTTCGAAAATTTATAATTGGATGTATATATTTAGGACCAATATTTGATTAAACAATTCTGCTCCTTTTTAAGTAATTTTAAAGTATATTTTTATTATATAACAAAAAGTTATATAAACTATCTCGTTTTCCAAATCTTGTTATGAGATTCTCCAATGAGTTGAAAGTAGGAACTCTTTCAAAAATATCAGCTTCCTCAAACGTCATTAGCGTGAGCAATGTTTAAGAAATTGATTCAGTTTGTTCTACATTTGAGGAGAATAAATATGGATGTAATCAAACGTTTCTGTTCCCAAAAATCGAAGCTAGGATTCAACTACTAATTTTTAACAACTTTTATCCGGCGGTTAAAAGTGAAATGCATTTTGGCTACGAGTTGCTATGTTTCTAATAGTCCTAACAGCCTATAAGTTCTTGAATTGAACTATAAGTATCTACAAATGTTTCGTTTTAATTTGAGCAACATTTAATTTTGCTCAATTATAGATGTAGACTGAAGCTCAGATGACTAAAAACAATTGGATGTCCGGGACATAATAAATAATTTTGCAAGAATGAAAATAAGCAATACAAGTTTTAATAAATATGGATCAGTATCATAGTTATTATTGCTTTTAGCCTACGTTTTTTCAATCACATTAGTCACCTACCTTAATTATCAAAACATTAAAAAGATAAACAGAAGATAAGTAGTGGTTAAACAAAATTAAATGGGTAAGCGAAAAAAACATACGTAACTCTTATAAAAATTGTCTGTTAAAGAAAATGTGTTTCTCATACATATGTATGATTGAAGGTTAGACAATATACAGAGTAAGCAAAAAGTCTTTATTTTAAATATTTTGCACAAAATAAGCGCGGAAGATAGAAAGGTCAAAATTTATCATTACCTAGTCCCATTGTTACGTTTTTCACCTTGTAGTTGATTGCACCAAAGAACTGGTTGTAACAAAACGCTATCGATGAAGGAAATAAAGCTAAATATATTTTGTGGTACGATCAAGCTAAATAACCTATCAAAAGTGAGTTTTAGAAGTTCTTACAGACGTTTTCCTCCAGATATTAAGAGCATCAAGAAATAGTATGAAAAATGTAAGGAAATTGGTAGCGTTGGTATACCTTCCAAGAAGTGGCAGGTAATTAGATTAATGAATCTGTCGTCAGTCGGGGTATCTCAAGAACCGAATCTTTTACCAATACTCTGCAGGTCAGAATAACGCATGCTATGTCAAATTTTACACAGCGAATACTTAAGAACACATGCCAAGAAGAAGTATGCCAATTTGACACTCTCAAAGCTACAAAGGGTGGACGCACTGAACTTTTCTAGGCTTGATTTGGTTAATGTGATTATGACAAAGTTCCGAGGGCTATCTGCCTAAGGGAAGGGATGACTTCGCTGACTGCTTTCTAAGGGAAAGTAACTCATATATACGTTACACCTGCGGAAAACACAAAAACGCCCATGCAGCCAGCCCGTTCGCGAGACTCGAACTGTGGAACGAACTTCGGCATCTGGTAGGCTCTAAAGTTTACTTATGTAACACTATTTATAAAAGAAACTTAATTATTGTTGTTACTCTTCCCAAAAATACCATATATGCGGAAAAACTGAAACATATTTTGAGCAAAATTTTTTGGTCAGGGAAAGATTTTTAGCTCGCCCTGTATAATATTTGTAATTGCTTATGAAAAGTTCAAAATTTTAAAAAATGAATTTAAACTTGAGCTGCATTTGCAAATGGGGAAAGTATTTTTGCTCAGCCGGTGTTATTTATTAAAGGAGCTAATATTTATGTTATGTAAATTATTGAGTAATTTATATCTACTAACTTTGCTTTTTCGTTTGTGTGCTTAGTTATTATCCTGTTTGTCAGCTATTTTGTAACCTAACCAGTTTTTTAATCTTTTGTTAAAATTAAGTTAGAAAGAACCTTAGTTTGGCAGATAATTGAAATAAAATTCGAAATATTACTTCATATGTTCATTATGTTCATATGTTCATTATGTTCATATGTTCATTATGTTCATATGTTTATATTATATTGTCATATGTGCTAGTGCACTTTTCTCGCAGAGTTTTATTAAGATCGTATGATAACCTAAACTCAGGCTAAAATAGAGGCCTAAAATTTCATCGTTCTAAAACTTTATTGACCGGATAAAAATGGGATTAAAGGACACTTTACAAATTTTCCAACAAATAAAATTCAGTTAAGTGTATTTCACCTGGATGTGCTAAAATATATGCTTATATTGTTAAATAATTAATTTAGTCATGAAAAAAGCCATAATTACTCAAAAGTGTCTTTACTCGAGGTTCTTGATTTGCCCGCATTAAACCATTCTCTCATAGTGTAGTGTTGCTTAAACCACGGTATTCTAGTTTTCTAAGAAAAATTATAAACTAATTACGATACCTTCATTTAGAACTCCAGTAAAAAAAAGATTTACAAAACAATATTGTCTATTTTATTTCTTTATTTGTTAGATTTCTTTAAATTGCTATAAAAGACATTGGAACAGCAATGAATGTTTCTGCATAATTGATTAAAACTTTTACATTATAGACTGGCCCACCAGCGGCCGAGCGGTAAAGTCGCTGAACACTGGTAGTTCGGTCCGAGGTTCGAATCCCGCGAACGGCTGGCTGCATGGCGTTTCGGGTTTCCCATTGTGTAAGGTAACGAGAATTTTCCCTTAGAAAGTCTCCCGAAGGCATACTCCTAGGCAGATAGCCTAGTGTGCTTTGCCATAATTAACTACACCAACACCAACAACGACAGATAGAGATGTAAAATCCTCTGAACGGATATAAAAATTACGATGATTATCATGATATAATTAATTAATTAAAAATTATTTATTGTATATCAACAACAGGGCAGGCAGAAAGAAGTTGGTATAATGGGAGCCATCCTCATAGGAAGTGGAATGATAGGATCTGTTGTTGCGGGGTACATACTGGATTTGACTCACAAATTTAAGTATGAACAGTTCATTTCCAAAACAATTGTCTTTCTTTTGGTACTTCTCTAAAACTTGTATTCTGCTATTATTTTATCTCTCAGTATCTCAATTATTGCAAAAAATTGCAAAAAATTATTATTGCAAAAAATTATTATTATTATTATTGCAAAAAATTGCAATGATTGATTTTAGCTTTATATAATTACTCTTTTTCTGCAATAGCCTCGAGCATGTGTCCAGACGAGCATGCGCAATCTCGGCAAATGATTGTAATAAATAACGTAGATGCACGTGATCTGTAAGACAAGGACATTTTATTTTCTTCCTTTAGATATGCATAGATTGATAACAAAAAAATCTCTAACTGTTATATTCACAACAATCTTATTGTCACATATTTCACTAAATCAGTTAGAAAAAATATGTTCCCAATTGTTCTCAGATGAGTATAGTGATTTGGATAGATATAAGGCATCTTGCAGAGTTTCTATCAAAACCGCAATATCCATAGACGAAAAGCATGAACGAATAAATTAGGTCGAAGAAAAGTGTCCGTTTTAAAGCAATATATTTACCACGCCCGCAACATGCACTGCTGCAATAATCATGATCATGGGTCAATATATAGTCGAGAGTTCAAACAGCAGCGGTTCTCAACCATTTGACTAACGCGTACCATCTAAACAAAAATTGAAAAACTTCAGTACCACTACTACATTTTGCAACGATTATTCTTCATTTTCTCAATAGAAATTTTAAAAAAAAATTGCCATCTGCACATTGATTTGTGAAAAGGAATATTATTATTACATTGTCTATTTGTATTAAATTTGCACACATAAAATATATTAGATTAAAAAGTGATTACCATTTTTACTATTAAAATTTAAGTTATCATAATTTAATTCTAAAATTTAGTGCAAAATTTGAGCCTGTTTAAGAAAGATTGAAATAACCATGGAGATCCTGGTTATATGACTAGTGTTTCCGCTCTTCGAAATTTACTCCTTATATCGGCGAGAACTTATAGTATTTTGAAAACGCATTCATGCATGACCGTATTCGACTGAACGCTCATGCACGACCGCAAATTCTTTGTCTTCACTTAGTTTTAACAGTAAATTAGGATCCACTTTTAATTTTGTTCTGCATTTTTTTTTTCAAATATAACACGGAAGAAAATCTTTGTTCACACAAATAGGGTGTGCAAAAAGGCAATAA